TATATATATATATATATATATATAACATAAAATATAAGTGTATATATTCATCGTGGATTAATACAACTAGTTTAAAATCTGATTCAATTTTACATTTTTTAGAACGTGAATTTAGCACTCTTTATAATTATTATTTGTATGAGATGTGAAATCCATGTAATAAGTATTTGTAATTTTTAATTCAACAAATAAAGTCTTGAGTCAAATTAAACATAGTTAAGTTTCTAACCAACAACAAAATGGATAATAATATATCTTAATTTTTTATCTAAAGATTTTCTATATATCATTAGTTTATTATTTGACTGTCATATATTGATCTCATATCTACCATTTTATGTATAAAAATAAATACTATTATTAAAAATACAATACATGCTTCTCTTAAAAAAATACAATAGAATTTCTATATCGGTAATACATAGTATGTTATGGAAAGAAGTTTAATCACCAAGAAGATCCATAATTTTCCCACGTGATGGCCTGCTGCGCAACTGTTTCCAACTTGTAAATTACGTCATAATGTTTTGCTTGGTGTAAAGATAAAGCAGAGCCGAGAATGGTCCCAAAAGAAAAGAAAAGGGACATCATGACAATTGAGTCTCTGCATTCTTTCTGGGTCTTCAAATCTTGTTTCACATTAATGGGGGCTCGTACATAGGGTGTGAACCTTGTAATTAACATGAAGACTTTGTACAAGGGAAGGAGAAGACGTTTAATTGAAGATTATCCACTTACAGAAATACAAAAGCAATTTGCTAAATCAACCTTTGTTGTCAATCAGTGCACCATGAATTAATCTAGCTTTTATCTAGCCATCAATATTCAACTGCCTTTTCACTCCTATTTGGTAATTCAAATTTTCCCACAAAACAAAAATGGTTACAACATTACAAAAATATTTGTTCATTTGTTCAACCGCAAGCAACAGCAATGAATTGTCACCGAAGGTGTGACACGAGAAGCATCACAATGCCAGAAAGTAAAGAAGAATCGAAATTTTGAACATTTTACATCACCTATCTTTTTATTTTTAAATTGTGAAATTTATCTTAATTTAATCTTAAAAAACTAACTTATAAGATGAAAATATTACTTCTCACTTATATACTTTATTTAAATTATATCAATAGTCAACGCAAAATCTTTAAAACACTTCATTTTATAGATTATTTTATCAAACTTCATGCTATAAATTGAACATCTAAAACATTTTTTTTTATAATCAAAACAGATAAATTTTTTCTAATTTAATCCAACTAAAGTTTATAATGGGTCAAGGTGACTCACAACATTTGACTTATTTTAGTAATTAAATATTAACAATCACTGATGCACACTCTAATATTATTTTAAAATATCACATTAAATTAAATTCAAGTTTATAAAATCAAATTGTAAGATAAAGATTATTTTTTAATTATTTTAATTATATTATAAGTTGAAGTGAGATATCTAACATTTATAAAATTTAAATAATTAAATTATGTGATATTAAAAATAATTGTATGTACAAAATTTTTAAAAATTAGAAAATATAATACAGTAGTCCATATTTGTTTTAAAAAAAGGATTGTGATAAAATATTAGCTATAATTTATAATTTATATAAAGTTATAACATTAATTTATTTATATAAACTTTTAATTTAATAGTTTTTAAGATACCATAAGTATGATATAATAAGTATATATCCACTCATTAATTAATACATAAAATGATATATTATTGAATTTTGCTTAACAATAATACTTTAATTTTGTTACAGATTAAGTTTAAAAAATAATAGCTATTTATGCATGGGTTATATATAAAATTATTCTAGAAAAAGAAATTTATTATTATATCTATTGAAGAAAAAAAATTCAAATCTCATATATACTAAAATTTAAATAATTAAATAGTATATAAGTAAAAAATAACACTCATCTTACAAATCAATTTATAAGATTGAATTAGGTTCAAATTTACTATTTTAAGATGGTATTAAAAAAAATCTAAGTCCACAAAAATAATACGTGGTATAGAATATAAAGCTCACTGCACGAATGAAATTTTCTTTGCTTCGATTCATTTACAGACAAAAGTTGGTCGAAAGAAGAAAAAAAAAAAAAAAAAAAAAAAAAAAAAAAAAAAAAAAAAAAAAAAAAAAAAAAAAAAAAAAAAAAAAAAAAAAAAAAAAAAAGAAACAGAAAGATAGAGCACAAAAAATTGATGATAGAGGATGACGGACCCCATTGTCACAGCCTCACAGAGAGATATTTGGGATATGCCTGTTGCTGTAACCCAGATTCCAGGGGAGACTGGGTCCGCTCAAACCCTAAACGTAAAAAAATGTTAGCAAATAGACAGTTTCATCTTATAGATATCACTAAACATTTTTTTACTAGACAGTATTACCGAGACTAAGATTATTATGGATGATAAAAAAAAATTATAATATTTAATATATTCACATTTAAACTCGAAATTACTAATTAAATTAGAATAATTTTGTATCAATTAATTCATTAAAATTGTTAGTAAATAATACCATTGTGTATAGATACTCACGGATAATTTGAGGAAAATGTTATTATCTATATATTTAGAGTATCTTTGTTTTTGCATTTCAAAATTTTTAAAAGATAATTCAGACTTTCTAATGCATGAAATACATAAACCAGAAGAAGGATTCAAATTAAGTTGAAGTTAACTTTTTTTTTTTCCAAACACACACTTGGTCATAATCTTGGAAATGTCGCTATATACTAAGATGATAGGTTAAAAGAAATTCGTTAATCTATTCACCAAGACAGGTTATCACAAAACATCCTAAATTAAGTTGAAATTTGTTCAAGATTACCAGTTGCCTCCTGAACAAAATTCGTATATGCAGGGGAATGGCCATAGACATGGTTTCATGCCCACGATCCGACTTGCGACAAACGTCAATCTACATCTAGAAATCAATAGAGTCCAAAGGAAAAAAAAACGCGGCTTTAGCCGAAGTAATAAAACATAATACTAGCAACATATTTCGAATATGTTATTGAAATTGTATAGTAATTTTATTAAATTAATAATTTAGTTGGATGCCCTTTTGTTCTTGAATAAGACGTAATGTTTTTTTTTAAAAGAATTATAAAACGCAATTTGTTTTTTGCAGGTAATTAATTAGATATATTCCTTGTGTCTCTAATAAAAGCATGCATTGTGCAGTGAAGGATGATGTTGGTACTTGGCGGTACTAGGAAATGGCCAGCTGTCTCCTGCTTGCAACTTTGATGAAAAAGCAATTAAAAGAAACGAAGGAGTAATAAATATGATAAGTAAGATTTTCCTAATCTTGCACCTACCACCCTTCATTTGTTACTATAAATAACACCCTTAACTGGCTCACACAGCAGCACAACCTAAGCTAGCTAGTAAGCTTTCAGAACTCCTCTTTCTTGACAAGATGAAGGTGGTGTTTGCAAGTGTGCTTCTTGTGTGCCTTGTCCTAAGCTCCTCATTCTTGGAAATCTCAATGGCTGGTTCTGGTAAGCCTCTAGAATATGACTTGTTATGTATGACATGTGTTTTTGATTAAAATATTAATGTGTTGTGGCCTGTGGGGTGGATTTAGATTTATGTGACTCAAAGTGTGGACAGAGGTGTGCGAAAGCAGGGGTTAAGGACAGATGCTTGAAGTTCTGCGGGATCTGCTGTGAGAAGTGCAAGTGTGTGCCATCTGGGACTTACGGAAACAAGCACGAGTGTCCTTGCTACAGGGACTTGAAGAACTCAAAGGGCAAGGACAAATGCCCTTAATTCTATTATTTTATTATCCACTTTCTATGATCGTCTCTATCTCCAAACTTATGCCACCCATCTATCACCTTAGTCCTTAAGTATTTGCTGCAGCTTATTATTTATCATGTTCCTTTATCCTCTTCTATGAATTATTATATATAAGAATATAAAGATTTATGACTTGGCTGTGATCACAAGTAAAATTAATCGCCCTCTTTATTGTCCTTCTGTATACGGGATCCGTTCTAATTTAAGCAAAATGGTTTTTGGACACTGAAAAACGTATTAGTCACATAAAAAAATATAGATAAAAGAATGGGCATGATAGATGATATATAGTGATAGGAAGAAATACATAGAGAGAAATAGTAAGTATTAAAGTGAATTATAAAAATGCCTAACTATATTTTTAGTTTTTTAAATTTGATAAATGTATTTCTTTTCCTAAAATTTAAAATTTGTGATTTTAATTTTTAAAATATCAAAAATTATTTTTATCTCTCAAATTTAAAACATATTTTTAATCTATTTAATTTTTTAAAATAATATTTTTTAATTCATGTATATATATATTTTTTGTCCCTTAAATTTAAAGTGTTTTTTTATTCCCAAAAATATATAAAAAAAATATTTTAATTCTCTGTTCAAATATTATTGGTAAATCTGTTGAACAAAATTATTATCCTAATGTTATTATTAGTGAAATTATCACATTAAATCAATTGATATTATAATATTATCTTAATTTCACTATTAGTTATGCTATTAATGACCATGAGAGATCAAAAAAAAAAAATTTTAAGTATAGAAATTAAAAAGATAAATTTGAAATTTAAAATTAAAATAATGATTTTTATACTTTAAAGATTAAAAATACATATTTTAAATTTGAGAAACCAAAAAATTATATGCAAACTAAATACAATATTTTTGAAATTACTGAGACTTCAAACACAAATTTTAAATTTGGAGGGAGAAAAAATAATTACTCTAAATTTAAAGTAATAAAAATATAACTAATTATCTTTTGAAAAGTATTTAAAAATTATTACTCTAAATATAATTAGCCTTGTGTGTAAATCATTGGTGCAATAAAAGAGATTAAAATAGTATACCATTTGAATTTCATTGTCATTGATGTAATATTTTTTATTGATAAATAAAATAATGTAGTTGGTTAATCAATAGTAATGCTTATTCCCTTTAAAATTAAATAATACTTGTTTAATATTTTAATATTAAAAAATATGAAAAGTTAGGAACTATCATTAAAAGATGTTATATGCAAGCAGTTAAGTATTTGTATTTTTTAATGAATTAATGATGATAATAAGATTTAAATATAAGAGTTTATATATATTTTTAATTCCCTCATCATTAGGTTCATTTAGTGGTTCATATCAATATTTCTTTAATCTTTCTTGGGATAATATTTTTAATAAAAAAATAACTATTACTGTAAATGTTACATATTTATATTAATAGAATGACATATTATACTAATGGAGAATTTTACTAGTGTAAAAAAAGTATATAAATTCTTAATACATATTTTGTGTTGAATAAAAATTGTGTTAATTATGTTTTAAAATTATCTTATATAATTTTCTGACTTTAAAAAAAATAAATCAAGTTTCTTTTGGAAGAAAAAATATATTAAAAACTTAAATAATTAGTTTTGATATTTTATTAAATATTTTATAATATCATATAAAGTTTTAAAGTTGAGTTTAACTTAAGGGTTAAATATGTTTTTAGTTCATATAAAATGAGCTAATTTTAATTTTAAATCTTGTAAAAAAAATCTTTATTTTACATATTTTTTATTTACAAATATTATTTTTATCCTTATAAAATATTTTTCTCCTTGTAAAATGAATTAATTTTAATTTTAATCCTTGCAACATTTTTTTTTATTTTTTATCCCTCTAATTAAAGTCATTATTTTTTACTCCTAATGATGATTTAAAAATAAATAAATAATATTTATTTTAAAGACCTATAAAAAATGTAAAAGTGTCACATTTATTTTAAATACCTATTAAAAGTGTCAATTAACTTTTTAGTAAAAAAATAAGTAGTTAAAAAGAATCTTTTAATAGGTACTAAACATAATAATTTAAAATTTTATATAAATAGAAAAACAAAAATAGAATTATTAGGATCAAAATTAATACTTGTTTATTTTACAAAAAACTAAAAATATATTTAAACATTAATATGATTACCAATGATATCATGTTAAAAAAAATTAAAGTATAATATGTATTAAAAAATAATAATCCGACTAAACGTTCTTTTCTGAGTTTTCTCCCCTCAACCTCTCTTGGCTTGTGTTTAGTAAAGAAGAAATAAATAAGAAATAAAATACAAATTTGGTTAAAGAGAATAGATGAGAAACAAAATATATACAAGAAGGCTTTCTGACCAAAGTGGAGTTGTTTTAAAAGTTTATTACGTAAATGGGGTTGTTTTGAAACTATTTACGCCTTTGGGGCTGTTTATAACGGTGTCGCTATGGGCCATAGCGACACCGGTGACACGTGGCATTTTTTTCACTTCAGGGAAGCCATGAAAGCCATATAGATAAAGTCGCTACAGCCCATAGCGTCACTAAACGGCTTAAATAAAGTCGCTATAGCCCATAGCGCCACCAAACGGCTTAAAAAAAATAAATTCAAGATCTTGTAGGCAAGTTGGGAATGATTGATATTCATTTACCAACTTGAGGGGGAGTG